TTTTACATTTTGGTTTTGGAGACAAATAATGAAGAAAACTGTTGCTTTTTCATTTCCTTATTTTTGGTTTTCTGCTCAAACTGAAGCTCTGGATGAAAACAGACGGAGACGCAGGCTTCTGCTCCACAACAGAGACTTTTTACAAGAGAACGTGAAAAGAAAATGAGGCGGGCTGCGATTTTAGTTTCACTCACACACGTTTAACACACAAACTCTGCAAATTTACACCAAGTTCTTCTCTCAACACTCTGTTCCACCTCGTGATGTCATGTTTATGATACAGGAAGTGCTCTAGTATTATTATTAGATTCTTTTTTTTCAGACCAAGAGTTTGTTTTCATACCTGACAGTTTGGACTGGGTGAATCAATCTAGTACAAAGAACGTTTTTAAAACATCAAGCAGAAACTTACAAATCAAAATACCAAAAAAAAATATATTATTTGTGTAATCGTGTAAAATGTTGGTCTTTGCCTCTTTGGAATTTTGTTTTGTTTTTGTTCCGTGTTTTTCTCAGTTTTTTTGATGCCGTTTTTGTTTTTTCTTCTTTCTTTCTTTGGTTCTGATTCCAGTCTTCTCGTTTTCGACTTTTTGGTGCAGTTTTGGCACAAACGTGGCGGGTGGGCGGGGTTTCCATGGCTGCGTTCCCACTGGCACATTCCTGAAGCTGTTGTGGACGTTTCCTGTTGAAGTTACAAACACAGTTACAGATAAAGTGTGACAGAGCTCCAGCGCAGGACGGTTTTGTTCCATAAATAATTCATTCATTCATTCATCAGCCTCGGCTACAAATCACAATAAATATTAAAGATATAAACAACGCGGCGATCCAAGACGGGGCCCTAACATCGATAACAAAGCTCCTTTTAAAATGATTCGTTCTAGATCTTGGCACTAAAAGCGTCTGACCAAAGTGAAGCAGCTGAAACTCTGGCTCCGTCCACACTAGAACGAGTCGAGTCGAGTCGAGTCGTTTTTATTGGATACATGTTACGACGCAACTCGTTTGGGATGAGGGAACAAAAAGAACCAAAAATTTAATTAATTAAATAATGTTTAATTAACAGGATTGTAAAGGTAAATTAACAAAACGGACTAAAATATACAGAAAATAACCTAAACTAAGAAAACTAATCAATAGACAATGAGTTTTGTGCCACAAAACGGGTCACGCAGATTTACACAAAACAAAACTAGAAAATCAGTCAGAGAGCGCAGACCTCCGCCAAGGACCACAGTCCCCCTCATATTAACTGTGTTTTCCATAAATATTTGTCTCGTATCTTTCAATTTGGAATATGAAAGAGGATCCCATTGTCCATCCCTGAGTCAAATTTCATGGGGTTTGGTCAATAATTAACCGAGATATTGAGAAACAACATTTTTGGCCCCATTTACCACAATGTGAACTAAAATTTCAAAGTGATCCAGAATCCAGGATTTCTTTCCGATCAGCCCCAAAATGAAATCAGTTCTTCCTTTTCACATTTCCAACAAATCCTGAAAATTTCATCAAAATCGGTCCATAACTTTTTGAGTTATGTTGCTAACAAACAAACAAACAAACAAACAAACAGACAAACAGACAAACAACAGACAAACAAACAAACAAACAACACAACAGACAAACAGAAACAGAAACAAACAGAAACAGACAAACAGACAAACAGACAAACAGACAAACAGACAAACAGACAAACAGACAGACAAACAGACAAACAGACAGACAACAAACAGACAAACAGACAAACAGACAGACAAACAAACAAACAGACAAACAGACAAACAGACAAACAAACAAACAAACAGACAGACAAACAAACAGACAAGACAAACAAACAGACAAACAGACAGACAAACAACAGACAAACAAACAAACAAACAAACAGACAACAGACAGACAAACAAACAGACAAACAGACAGACAGACAGACAAACAGACAAACAGACAGACAAACAAACAGACAAACAGACAGACAGACAGACAAACAGACAGACAACAGACAGACAGACAAACAAACAGACAAACAAACAAACAGACAAACAGACAAACAGACAGAACAAACAAACAAACAGACAAACAAACAAACAAACAGACAAACAAACAGACAAACAGACAGACAGACAAACAAACAGACAAACAGACAAACAAACAGACAAACAAACAGACAAACAGACAAACAAACAGACAAACAAACACAAACAGACACAAACAACAGACAAACAGACAAACAGACAAACAAACAGACAAACAGACAGACAGACAGACAGACAAACAGACAAACAAACGCCGGCAAAAACATAACCTCCTTTGTGGAGGTAATAACAAGTTCCCAAAATTAAACCACATAAGCCACAAACAGAATCGAGGGACCAAATAAAACAAGGCACAAAACACTGAGCACCAGGGTTAAAACTTTTTGACCTTTTTATCCAAAATCAAAGTCCTGCATCGGGTTGCATGTGTAGGGTGCGTGTGTATGTGTGTGTGTGTGTGTGTG